GGACATACTATTTGTAAGGGTTCAACACGACACTTGTGGCAAAGCAGAGCTCTAGGGCTGAAACCAATCAAACCTCCACACCCTCACTGTCTGACAAATTCGCCTGTCGTGTTTACTGCTGTGGATTCATATTCTGTATGTAGTTTTTGGTTTACATGTACACGATTGTCAAATACCACACGCATGCATGTGAGCACACAAGCAATAAATAGAGTTATATTCTTGGTTCTTTCGGTAAAGTCACATAGAAGGGAAACAATAAAATAATAAAAATATTATACAATACAATTCTCACGACGTTTCGACTGCAACACAAGCAATCATCATCAGATGTGAAAACCACAACAATAAAATATGGTTGTGTACACACACCCACACACATATATAAGAGAAATGTATACATCGACACGTAGAACATCTTAACAACTCTTATTAAATTTTGATTTAAAGCTTTCGTGACTGCAGGGATTCATATTCTTGGTTCTTACCAATATATACACTGCACCAACTAAGGCCGGGTCAACCTAGGGGTAGCTCAGAACCACGCATGGCCGCCTGTGTCTCCCACGTGCTGACGTTGATGCACTGCACCAGCTAAGGCCGGGTCATCCTAGGGGAGGCTCAGTACCGTTTCATATGTTCGTCACTGATGTTAGCCGTGAGTGGACATTCAACTTGGGCATCCTGGTTAGTGACAATGCGCTGACCATTCTACTACTGCTCCGCAAACAAGCAATTTATATAGAGACATTTGGTATGTCGTTTTTAAATGCACGCTATATATACATACCCCTTTCAATTATAGGGTGCACATGTGCGTGTGGTTTGTTCACCCGTGTGTGCATGGTGCATGTGGTCCTTTACACGTGATCATCATTTTTGCAACTGAATTAAGTCTCGAGACTCCCCTTCGCACCAGTGCCGGACGATCCTAGTAGCACAAGTAGCTACAAATGATACGGGCCCCGCAATTTCAAGAACCCCGCGCGAAATGCTTTCAAGCTATCAATTCCGGTCCAGCGATTCTGCACTTGCTCTATTACTATCATACTATACTGCCTTCAACTTTTGTGAACGACTGGGTGTTTAAGTTTAGTGATTTGTCGTATTATCTTACTGTATAGCAAATGAAAAGATACAATAACTTTACTATGCAAGTTAAAAATCTGTGTTTTAATGTTTAGGTCTTTTTTTTATTTACGGCCCCTTTATAACATTTGCTACAGGCTTCGCACGAGCTTAATCCGGCACTGCTTCGCACACAAGTGCACTCGCCAGAGACACCGCAGTGCTGTGGCAACTTCACTATTCCCACATTTCGCTTGACTTCCTATGACAAACGCCAATTACAATTTAGCTAAAGCGTGATGTAAAGCCATTGTAACGCCTGCCAGGGCTTCATTGCTCACTCGATATTTTCCGCAAAGCTGATGGGCCAGCTTGGAGTAGTAGGGGTGATCGGCATAAGGTACTACCACTAGAGTACAAGATACGTCTTTTAGTAATAATCCTATGCGATTGTACTCTGTTCTTCCATCTTATAATCATATGAAGATGTTTATAAGCAAGAGGGCACAGTACTGCGACATGGATGTGGCGTGATCAAAATTATTCCTGGAACATTGTTCCGGAGTGACCCGGCTGAAATAAATCAATGAGTGTCGCCGTGAACACTAAAATATCACTGAGTTCAGCAATTTTGCCGCCTATTTTACAAAGTAGATCCGTGGTACGTGAGCACAGCAACGAAAAAAACAGACAAAACCATCAAGATTGCAGATAACGAGTCCAAGGGGTATTGCACAGCTAACGAAACGAGGTATTTGATGGTCGTTAACGAGACACAGGAATATAAAAAACGGAGAATGCGTTATTACTGAAAGATGAAACAGACGAATAACTTTGGGTAAGAGTGCGGGTGCTACTGCCCAGAAGATATAAGTAGCTTTGTCTCCGTCATATATGCGTATTTATTCATAAAAACATAATTCTTTTTACAGAACCCATTGTCCCCACGTTATTCTGAAGCGCATCTTATCAGCAGAATTGATTCAGTACAAGCAAACTCTGGACAGGTTTCGACATTCAGTATCCCATCAGCAGAGTTAGGGTGGCTTGAATCATCGCTGGGGAACTTCCAGATGGTAAAGACAAGGACCGTCCCTTGAATAATATGTATCCTAGTTCCATACAAATCTGTTTTAATACTTAAACAGAATGAGCATGAATTATATGAAGCAGACATTTCTTCGTAATTTAACTGTGTGGAGCCGGTCGCCACCTGGTGGACACACAACGATTGCATGTTGGCTGGGCGCTCATTCTCTGCTGCTGTCCTCAATATCCAGAAATCCACTTTCCGTGCCATCCGAGCTGTTTACTGCCTGTCATTTAAATGTGCAAATAACAATAGAACCCATCACAACAGAAACATCAACGCAGGCTGGATACAAATACGTTTAACAACACAAAAAGGGTGTGCATTGCTGGTGCACAAATCTATTTTCACCGAATTTTGACTTCAAACTTTCGTGACTGCAGGACTTAATATTCTTGGTTATTTCGGTAAAGTCACGTAGATATAAAATAAAAAAAATATGAAGACCGCTTGTGTTGCGATTGAAACTTCGTGGGTTTTTTGCTTTTATTATTTTCAATTTATTATTTTCAATTTATTATTTTAAATACAAATGTTCCTAAAATTTACTATTTATGTATTTATGTTCTATCTACGTGACATTACCGAAAGAACCAAGAATACTATTTTCACTGATTCTATTGTGAAATCTTTTGTTTCCAGCCTGCATAATTTATATTTGTTATGATTGGTTTTCTCATCATTTACAGATTGGGTTACTGTTGCCTTTAGCCAACCGTCAATGGGGTCACTATAGTGTAAAGGTCATCTCCATATATGGGGTTGCCAGAGGCATATAGCAAGAGAAAGTATTGATGACTGTCCTGCACTGATGAGTCCTAATTAGACGAATCCGGCCCATAGTTGCCTTTGTCTCACTGCTGCCTGTTGCTGGGACTGCCACCACGTGTCCTCAACTCTTTGAGTCTGTGGTCTAAACGACGACATGGCCACAAATTCAGTTCTTCTGAGCTGGTGGTCTAGATACGTTTGAGAGCGTGTAAACATTCATACTGCACACATCTGTATGATTCTGCATCTAAGACGACTCCCTGTACCTTCCAATGCCGTGAATCCTACACGTGGAGGGTGATGGTGGTGACGATGGTGAAAGTGGTGACGGTGGTAATGATGGTGTGGGTGGTGACGTTGGTGACTGTGGTGACGGTGGTAACGATGGTGAAAGTGGTGACGGTGGTGACGGTGGTGACGATGGTGACGGTGGTAACAGCGCTGACACTGGGACGCCTGCACGGCGCGACTGCCTCTCAAGGGCAAAGCTGGGCCACTTGGTTTGCGAGGAATGCAATCCCCTTTGCATTTCTAAAGGGCACCCCCAGTGGCAACGGTTTCTTTTTTTGCACGATAAGGCGACTCAGCATTTCACCTGCAAGTGGCTTTGCTCTGTACGTAGGGGTGCTGATTGCTCGATGTAAAATACAATTGAGTAATGTCCGATTATCACGGTTGGCTAAGCACGGTGCAACAGAAGGTCGACATACATACAAGGATCTTATTGCAGCCTCGTAATTTAATAACACACTGATCCACATTCGCGCACTTAGCCACAAACACACGCGCAGTTGAGCACACCCACAGCTAGACGATAACGCGTGCTTCTCTCGTTATCTGCTGTCATCTGGCTCTCGTGATCGCCGGCCTTGCCTCGCCACAGCTGCTGTGGAGTCGCCTTTGTGCAGAATATAAATTACAACGTAGAAACGCATACAGCCCCTGTCTACTGATCTATTTTATCATCTGTAAAACAAGTAATCCTGATTTGTTTACAGATGTTTTACTAACTAAAAGTCTATCCTCCCTTGAGCGGGTGAGTGAGCAGATGGGTGTGGGTGGGTGAGCGGATGAATGTGTGGATGGGTGAGCGGGTGAATGTGTGGATGGATGGGTGGGTGAGCAGGTGGGTGTGGGTGGGTGGTGAGTGGGTGGATGAATGGGTGGGTGGTGAGTGGTTGGGTGGATGTGTGAGTGAGTGGGTGAGCGAATGGGTGAGTGGGTGGGTGGTTGAGCAGGTGGCAGGTGTGTGAGTGGGTGGGTGAGTGAGCAGGTGGGTGGTTGAGCACTTGGGTTGGTGAGCGGGTATGGTTGGTGAGTGGGTGGGCGGGTGGGCAGGAGGGTGGTGAGTGAGTGGGTAAGCGATTGGGTGAGTGGATGGGTGGGTAAGCAGATGGTGGGTGTGTGAGTAGGTGAATGAGTGAGTGAGCGGGTGGGTGGACGAGCGGGTGGGTGGATGGATAAGCAGATGGCAGGTGTGTGAATGGGTGAGTGAGCGGGTAAGTGAGCGGGTGGGTGGGTGAGTGGGTGGGTAGGTGAGCGGGTGGGTTGGTGAGTGGATGGGCGGGTGAGTAGGTGGTTGGTGAGTGTGTGAAGGAATGGGTGGATGGTGAGTGAGTGGTTGAGAGCGTGGGTGAGCGAGTGAGTGGGTGGACGAGTTGGTGGACGAGTGAGTGGTGAGCAAATCGGCGAGCGAGTTGGTGAACCGGTGGTGAGTGGGTGAGCGAGCAAGCGGGTAGGTGTATGAGTGGTGGATGGGTTAGGAGGTGAGCGGCTGGGTGAGCGAGTGGGTGAGCAGGCGGTTTGAGTGGGTGGGTGGTGAAGGGGTAGGTGAATTGCTGGATGGTGAATGGGTAACTGGCTGGTGGGTGAGTGGGAGGGTGAGTGAGTGGGTGAGCGGGTGGGCGAGTTGTGAGCGAGTGGCAGCGCTGCTCGTGAAGCTGTGAGTCTGTGTGAGTCTCTGTTTAAGCCTCCATGTCTCTGTGCGAGTCTGTGAATCATGAGGTGAGTTTATTTGCGAGTCTTAGCGTGCGTCTTTGTGCGAGTTCACGAGTCTCCGTGTCTCTCTCAGGACCCCCTGGATGCGTTGAGGCAGCTCTGATCGCGTAACTGTGAATCTCTCAAGGCGGAGTTCTCCAGTGGAGAGTCTCGCGTCTTGTCCTGGACTCGCACCCAGGAGTCCTTCGCCCAGGAGCGCCTGGATCTGCTCCACTGCCAGGACCACTGCGTGCATCTCCACGGCAACCGCCGTAGCAATCGCGGCAACCAACATCACCACGATGGTCACCGTAGAGACCGCCATGATTATAGCAACTTCCATCGCCATAGCAGCAACCACCATCACCACAGTAATCACCGTAGTTACCACCATCACTGTCAGCAACCATAGCGTAGCAACCACAATCAGTCTAGCAACAACCACCATCACCACAGCCACCAATATGGCAACGACAACACAGCAATCACCATCAACATAGTTGCAATCACAGCATAGAAACCACATTCACTCTAGCAGCAAACCACCATCACTACAGCAATCATCGTAGTAACCACCGTCACCAAAGCAACCACCATAACTGGAACCCAATAGGAATGAGTCATTATGTTGATGATGTTGACGATGATGTTTTTGTTGCTGCAAGTTGCAAATCAACTTGTTTCCAAAGTCCGTGTCTCCGCGATCTCTCTCCCTGCTATACTAAGGTTTTTAATTTTTGCCCCCCTGATTCTGCTGAAGATTTCCTCTTCATACTTCCTCGTCTCCTTGTTCTCGAGTGCCTCCTCCTCTTCTCATTGTGTTCTGGATGTCCGTTTTAGTTTTAGTCGTAGGTTGCATAGTACCAACCACTGAGGCATGGACAGTCCTAAACATGGGATTGGAAACTGCAAAACAGGGAGTGGCTCTTCTTTTGAATAAAACAATGAATGCGGTGTGGGAAGCTGCGAATCTCAAGTAACGGTGGGCTCACCTCCCCATTATCGGGAGTCAGGTAATGGTGGCTTGGTCACAGGAAGATGCGCTTGAGAGTCTTCCACTCTGGTGGTGGGTGTCCATCTCGGACCCCATTAAAACCGACAGTGGCCTGGTTTCAGCCAGCTGATGAAAGTTGTAATAAATAATTTCATAATCACTTGCAGTTGGGGTTGGCATCGCCCCCCTCTCCTACTTATGCCCATCCATCCTTGGTTTAACCAGGCTGGATTGTGAGCTCACATCACGTGAGCTCTTCCGACGGGCAATGCTTGAGTTGACTGGGTCATCTAGCCAACATACCCAGCCACCACATGCTCAAGTAGCTTATGTTGGGGCAGATAGAGGGTTATAAACGGACATCACACAGGCTGGAAAAGAGATGGACTGATGCAGTAAAGGAGAATGTGGAGCCGAGTGTATTTGCTGAAGACGGCGCTCAGGGGAGAGCTGCATTTTGGGGACATGGGTGTTACGAGATAAGAAATAGGCTGAGCCATTGTCCCAAAGAGCACTTGACTCTAGAGCCTGTATGGCTATTAGGGGTTCTTTGTCTTAGCTTTTTGTGTGGAGGAGAGGGAAAGAGTGCTCCTAGCATAGAGAGAGAGAGAATTACAAATATAATGATAATAACAATGTTGTCCATCTATCTACGAAAACATCACCGGCATCCCAAGACTAATTTTTTAAGAAATTCCTGCCCTGGGACGGCTGACCATTTCCATGAAACAGGTGTTTGGCTTTGTGTGGGAGGGAACCAGAGTACCGGGAGAAACTCCACGTTGCACATGAGAGGATAACACTCACAGTTCTGCAACAGATGGAATTCACAGACCCGCTTGCTGTACTGTTGGATAAAGGCCTTCCTACATATTATCTGTAGTAATGCTTTCTTGCTATATTTCACCATTACGCCCATTATGGGTTGGTGAAGCGAGGGGGGCAGGACCGATTCTTCTGTCACTCGACTGATTTCAGGCCATGGGTTTCTAGTGCCGGTGCTCTAAGCACTGCAGCTGCTCCACCCGATATTCCTGTGCAACGTTGCACGTAAGATATTCTATCGCAATGGATTTTCCAGATGAAATATTTTCTAAAATAAAAAATGCAATGCAGGAAAAACAGAAAAACTGCCACGACACGGTGGGCAGGTGTGAGATAGAATGGATTAAAATGATCACGACTGAACACCCATGCCGAGCACACCGTAGTGGTGTTCACTTCATCTGGTGGCGAGATGTTAACGAACACCTTGTGAAAGGCCCAAGGCAGATCCCTGGGTTTGATCTTCCAAGAAGCTCATGGTCCACCCTAAACCGCATCCACTGCACAAACCATGGCAGATGCAGATACCTGATGCACAAATGGAAAATTAAAAACTCTCCAGTGTTCAACTGTGGTCATCCAGAACAGACCAATCAACATACAATGAAGCAATGTCCGATCCACATGACAATGACACACTGCGCTACTCTTGACGTGGTTATCTGGCTTGACCACCTGAATGTGAAATTGTAGTTGTTACTCTGCATCTACATCAGCCATCTGAAAACAGAAGACAAAATGATAGGGGAGGGAGGGGTAGAGAATGGGAAATGGAGAAGCGGTGAGGCTTTAAGAGAGGAACAGAATGAGGTTAAGGAGGGGGACTACTTAATGTGCTGGGGAAGATTATTCCAGTGTAGGTGTGCAGGGAGAAGGATTGAACGCAGGGAGATGGAGGAACAGAGAATATTGGGAACGGAGAGGACGAGAGGGGACATGGAAGGAGATGAGAGGCAAGAGAAGGTGGGGCAAGGCCATAGAGAGATTTGAAGATGAGCATCAGACATTTGAAAAGACAATGGTCGTGAACGGGAAGCCAGTAAAGTTGATGGAGGAGAGGCAAAGTGTGAGAATAAATGGGAGATTGAAAATAACTTGTGGGAAGTCTTTTTTATTTGTTGGAGGGGAGTGAGGGCTGATGCAGGGAGACCAAGACGACGAGAATTGGTGGTCCAGACGGTTAAAAATGAGAAAATGAACTAGCAGTGGGATAATAGTGGGAGGTATTAGTGATATAGTGGACGTGGCAAGTTATTAATTTGGCGGATCTAAATGGTAGTGGGCTGGGTTAGTGGTGGAGTGGGGGCTACGACTGGAGTGGGCAGGGCTAGTGGTGAAGTGGGTTGGACTAATTGAGGAAGTGGGCGGGCCTCGTCGCGGAGTGTGCGGGTCTAGTCGGGAATGGGCATCTCTAGTGGTAGTGTGGGCGGGGCTAGTGGGGGAGTGGCTCTGTGTACGAGTCTGGACGTTTTCGTGAGTGTGTAGATTTGAGTTGATATACGAGCCTCTTTGTGAGTGTGTTTGTCGAAGCGAGACTGTCTGTGTGCCTCTGTGCGAGTCTATGCACATGGCCTGGCACAAGCGTCGTGGTGATGTAACCGCCACTTAGTGGCGAATGGCGGTTGTTATTGAGTCTATGCAACCCTGTACGTCTAGCTCAGTGCGAGTACATTTCGCTGTTTGTCTTTTTGTATCAACATGCGTCTTTATATATCAATGTGAGTCTGTGGATCTCTGTGAGTTTATGGGTCTGTCTGAAACTGAGTGTCAGTGGAAGGCATTTGACTGGTAAGCCCTGTGATATCCACTTTTGTGGGCCACTTTCTAACACAAATGCTTGCACTGCATCATGAGATATCCAAACAGGTTATATTATTAGTCTCGTGACACCATTAGTAGGTCGATGAAAGTATTGGGTACAATATCAAAAATATGCAATAATATTGAAACCTTTAAATGGCAACGCCGCATGAGTAACCAGGAGAGTCCTCTTGTGAGTTACACCGAGTTTGTATTCTCCAGCACGTAGTCCATGCGAGAAGTTTGAATGCTTGACAAGCAAGAGAAGGAAGTGGAGTGAGCCATATGGAAATTTACTAAACCTCCTGCACCAAAAGCTCAATGCGCTGAAACTGAGAGCGCAGGAGTGGGGGTCACTGGGAGTCTCTTCTCTGTTTCCGTGTTTCATCATCACCACCTACAGTCACGGCTACCCCCAGACACAAATACAACACAAATCCCCCATATACAGTACACACACACAAGGAAACCATACACAGATCCCTCATGTAGTCTACACAGGCTGTTGGGGAAAGTGCAGTTAGTGAGCACCTATTCAGGCTGACATGGCACACGAGGGTGTGGTGTGGCCAGTGCCATGCTCGGCCACCTTTGTCTCCGCACTGCTGATGTTTACACACTGCGATGGGTACTCGGTTAAGGCTGAATATACAAATACAAATCTACACCTAATAGCAGAATCTGAATATTTATACTGGAGTAATCCAATGAGTGGAGTCAAGAGAGGACAGGAAATTACAACAACCAATATAAATACACGATGAGAGTGCAAACTATAGTAAAGGTGAACAAATCACTTAAAAATATGGAAACAAAATAAACTCTGTTTTATCATACCAGGTAAGGCCCAGAGCTATTATCTTGTTTTTCAGAAGCGACCTGGCCACATATAATAGCTCGAGGAAGTGGATTACCACTTGAAAATTTATAGTAGCAAAATAATCTAAACGGATGTTTCTAAATGTGGAGGGAAAAACTGGAGGACCCAGAGAAAATCTCCATGTGTCCACGGAGAGAACTTGAACACTCCACATGTACAGCAGGTATCAGGGTCGGACCCCCAAACTCCTGCATACCAGCCGAGGAAGATAGCATCACACCACCGTGGCGTCACTTAATAATACATAATAGCATGCAAGTTCAAATTACATCAGATCCCAAGCTTTGGAAAGGCAGTAAAACAACAGCAATACACATTTCCAGACCACACCGAGACAATGACAGTCTCCCAATAAAATTGTACATTTAAATTTAATTATTGGTACATTTTCTGGGTTCTTTCGGTAAAGTCACGTAGAATGGAAATAAAAAAATAAAGATAAAACAATAAAATAAAATTCTCCCTCAACGTTTCGGCCACAACACAAGTAGCCTTCTTCAGGTGAAGAAACAGAACTGTCGGGACAACAGCGCTTCAATGAACACTGCTAAGCTTGGCAGCGTCTTTAGGAAAACTACCCATATGGATGCTTACTTAAAACCGGATTCCCACCACCATCCATCCCAGAAGAATTCCCTCATCAAGACTCTATACCATAGAGCCCAATGCATTTCCGACCAGGAACACATTGCCAGTGAACTCGAGCACGTACACCAAGCTCTCAAGGCTAATGGTTACTCCGACTACACAATCCACAAAGCCATCACTCCAACCAAGAAGAAGGATCCTCTTGAGGAGCCATTCAAAACCATCACCTTACCCTACATTGCGGGGGTCACAAAAAAGATCTCCAAAATCCTGAATAAACACAAGATCCAGGTCCGATTCAACACAGTACATAAAATCCGTGATCTGGTTCCGTCTGTAAAAGATGTGGTTCCAGACATACAGTACCCGGGCGTCTACAAACTAAGTTGCCTCTGTGGTAGCAGCTACATTGGAGAAACCAAACGACATATCTCAGACCGCATCCGTGAACATAAAGCAGACTTGAAGCACAGTAGGACGAATACCTCAGCCGTGGCAGATCACTGTTATAATTCAGTGGGCTCACATGACATTGACTTCTCCAAGACGGAGGTTCTCTGCAAGCCATCCGGCTACCATGAGAGATTCGTTCATGAGGCCATCCACATATACAAACACAGACAATTTCAACCGAGAAGATGGATTTTGGCTTTGTAACCATTGGAAAGACGTTATAAACCATTTCGGTTCTTGATTGATTGTATTTTACGGTGACTTTCAGACCGCAGTCCATTCGCTGGCACTGCCTCTTAGTACCTTTCACACGACGGTCAATGGTATGGTTTTTAGCATGTTGTATAATAATAAATAGTATAACAGTGTAATGTTTAACATAATTCATAAGGCAATATATAGTATCGTAATTGTATAGTGAATATACAGCAGTGTTGTATAGAGTAGGGTTGGTAGAATAATACATAGTGTAATATTACAAGTCTAATATTTTATAGTCTAAAGTATAGGGTAGTGTATAGTAATGCATTGTATAATTCAATGGTGGGGTTTGTCTATGGCAGTGTATATTACGGTGTATAGTCGTGTAATATATAAAAAAAAGTTTAATTGGAGGCATATCAATATAATGCATAATGTTAGAGCTTACATTGGGCTGTATATACGATATTATACAATGTAGTTTAGATTGGAAGGTTGTAATGTATAGTAGTCTAGTTTATAGCATAGTTGTAATGCAACACAGGATAGAGCAGCGCATCATGGCTGTTTCTCTTTCTCCCCCCTCCTCCGTTCCGAGCATAGATGGACTCGTCCGACTGAACAAAGCTTGTCGCTTTCCGTGGTGCTAACATTGAAAAGAAACCGCTACTTTTTTCGTCATAGAATTGTAATGTATAGTAACTCATTGCTAGTAGCTCAGCTGATTGGATAGTATATTGAGTTTATTGATAATGTTGATGTATACTCTTTAGTTATATTTGATAAAGTCACGTAGGTAAAAATAAAATAACAAAAATCACGACGTTTTGGCCACAACACAAGTGGCCTTCATCAGGTGAGGGACTGGACTGTCCAGAGGACAGCGTTGGAGTGAAGACAGCCAAGCCCAGGTCGCGTCCTTTAAGCTGTGTGGGAGGAAACAAAAGACGCCTTGACAAAGGAATTAGCATAAAATGATGTACTGGACCGGCACGGTTGGGGAGGGGGGGGGGGATTTTACATAATGTTGGTGTGAAGGGAAATAACCTGCTATTAAAGTTTGGGATACCACTACTTGAAAAAATATACTGTACCATTGAAAATTAGTATAATGTTTGGTTTGATTTAGAACATCTTTCCAATGATTGCTTAATTTGAAACCATCCTCTCGGTTGAAATTGTGTCTGTGTTTGTAAATCTGAATTGCCTCGTGGACAAATCTCTGATTAAAACCCGTGGGTTTGCAGAGAACCTTGGTATCGGAGAAAACAATATCGTGATCACCCACAGCGTTGTAAGTGATCAGCTACGGCAGAAGAATTTGTTCTGCCGTGTTTCAAATCTGATTTGTGCTCGCGAATTCGGTCAGAGACATGTCGTTTTGTCTCCCCGATATAGCAGTCACCACAGGTGCAGCTCACAGCTTAAAGGACGCGACCTGGGCTTGGCTGTATTCACTCCAACGCTGTCCTCTGGACAGTACGGTCCCTTCACCTGATGAAAGCCACTTGTGTTGTGGCCGAAACGTCGTGATTTTTGTTATTTTATTTTTACCTACGTGACTTTACCGAATAGAACCAGAGTATGGATCCTTGCAGTCACGAAAGCTTCAAATCTAGAATATTGATGTAGTTTATATTTTAGTTTTTTTATCAGTTTACTATTTGGTATTCATTATACAGTGTAGTGCATACCCAGTTACTTTACGTTAATAGCTCAACTTATTGAAGAATATATTGAGTACATGTATTATATTGATGTAGTTTATTCTTAGTTCTTTCACATCGGCTTATTGTACGACAGTTGGGTAGTTGCAGTTCTTTAGCGTCAATATACTAAATGCCTCTGTTGATATGTAAACTCTGACTTTAACATAGCTACTTCCATGACCAGTTACATGCTAATCTCCCAGTTACATGCTAATTTCTGACTTTAACACTCTGCTAATCCAACACATTAACACAGCTACATCAATGATAAATTCTTCTGTTGATATGTAAACTCCTTTGTCAAGGCGCTCTGCTCCTCCCACCCAGCTTAAAAGACGCCGCCAAGCTTAGCAGTGTTCATTGAAGCGCTGTCGTCCTGACAGTTCTGTTTCTTCACCTGAAGTAGGCTACTTGTGTTGTGGCCGAAACGTCATGAGAATTTTATTTTATTATGTTTTATTTTTATTATTTTTTTCCATTCTACGTGACTTTACCAAAAGAACCAAGAAGATGAATCCCTGCAGTCACAAAAGCTTTAAATCGAAATTTATTGATACATTGTTAAGCATTCCGAGGCTGTTGAAGTGCTGTTATTCGGTATATAGATATATGTTGACATAGAAATTTGAAATATCAGGTGTATTTTTAACCTGTTTTTTTTACCTGGATAGCCTAATTTGCAAGTGTGACCTGACACCAAAAAATAAAACTAATAAATTAGAGCAATGAAGCAAAGAGAAATCAGAGCAAAAACAACTTTAATGCAAGAAATGAACATTCCACAATCATTACATTTCGATTTAAAGCTTTCGTGACTGCAGGGATTCGTATTCTTGGTTATTTCGGGAAAATTCTCACGACGAAATGTCGTGAGAATTTAAGTTAAATTTTTATTATTTTATTATTTCCCTTCTACGTGACTTTACCGAAAGAACCAAGAATATGAAACAATCATTAATTAAACAAAATAAATCACGTTACAGTTGCAACACAAGCGCCCGTCTTCAGGTGACAATCGCGATAGCCGCGATGTCTGCTGCGAGCAGCACGATGTCTGCAGCAGACACACCAATTGAAAGTTAAAATACATACATTTTAAACAGATATAGGGTGACTATCGAAGTCATACGTAAAGTGGCTAGGATATGTGCATGTTGTGTGATACACACCTCTATGTACGCACCAGTGATGTGCGGTGAGGTCAATGGCTGGGGAGGCACTGGCTAGTGTCAGAGCCAGATTCACATAGAGGGCGTGGCCTCACGGAGGGGGGCGTGGCCTCACTGAGGGGTGCGTGTTAGACACGTCCCCCTCAGTTATAGCTGCCTCCTCTGGTGCTTTTTCATTGCAATTTCATGACGAGACCAGCGAGCCTAAATATATTTATACACATACGTGAAATAAGTTACCTCGAGTATGGAAGGCGAGGACATGAAATGAAGGGGTCTACAAACATTACACACACGAACATATGCACACACAATTTGTGAAGTAGTGAATGCGAGGTGTGCAAGTCTCACACTAGCTCTTTACATCTGTGCAGTCCAGGCTGAAGCCTCTTCATTTCCTCGATGCCAATGCCGCAGTCAAACAGGTTGAGTGTCTCCACAGGTTCCTCTCGATGCAGCAGGATCGAGGTGATGGCAGCGCAGTCTGGCAGGGACAGCCTTGTGAATGACAGGTCTATCTCAGTCATGGACCGAGTGGCATCACTCATGGACTTGCGGTCGTGCAGCTCGTGCACACAGTGCAGGAGACTGATGAGCCTGTGTTTGTCAACCTTCTGATTTTCCATGCTGTGATTGAGCCACTCGATTATTTCCTTTTGAGAATCTGCAGATGGAGGATCCAAGATACCCTCAAAGAACATCCATGGAGTGCTTGATGCTAGTCCACAAAAAAACCTCTGAAACACATCAAACCTCCCATCTTTGCTGTCCTCAATAGCTTTGATTATGTCACTCACTGGCCGTGTTGAATGTGTCAAATGCATGGCTATTGCTGCAAAGAATTCCTGGATTGTTAAGTGTGAAAACGAATAACAACTCCCTTATTCTTAGTTCTTTCGGTAAAGTCACGTTGAAGGGAAACAACAAAATAATAAAACGTGACTTTACCGAAAGAACTAAGAATATGAATTACTGCAGTCACGAAAGCTTTAAATCAAAACAACTCCCTTGTTTAATGCCCTCACATGTGAACACTTTGTTGATGAATGTACTTCCTAGTTCAGAAGAACTAACAACACACTCTTCTAGATCTTTTTGGCTGAACACCTGGATGTTTTGCTGAACCCCTTTCAGAGCCATATTTGCAAGAGACAATAAAATTTCCTTGGCTCCGTGGCTGCCACGTCCATGGTGTTCTACGAGCCCAAACACGTATTGTGTGAAGAGGTCGGTCATTGATTTGAGGATAATCTCAGAATGATCAGACTTTTGTAAATGTTCCTTCAGTGTAATGGCTGCTATATGACAGAATGAAGGGTTCTGGGACAATGTATTCACTGTTTCATTTTCCTGCAGGAGCTTGAGTACTCTTTCTGCTAGATTCCTATCTTTGTAAAAATTGCGTAAAAATTCTATTTTATCCTCATGGGAAAACCCAGCAATTTCAACAGCTCGATCAACATTCACTCCACTCAGCTGCGCCATGGCAATAGGTCTGGTCGTTATCAAGACCGAGGCCTTGGGCAAGAGGTTTCCATTCACTAGTGCAGCAATGATGCCTTCTACTGTTGCCGTCTTACGTGGATCAGTGCAAGCATTGGCATAGTGAAGGCACTTTCCAAACTCATCCAACCCATCCATAACAAAAAGGGTTCTCTCTTGGTTTGCGTAAACCTCATCCGCTTTTTTTCCCAAACATGAGTGCAGCACAGAAAACAGCTCTGCGAGTGACACCTCTCCAACATCATTTATCTCCCTGAACGTTATGAGCACGATGTGCTCAAAGCGTCGTGCAAACACTCTCTCACCTGACAGCAGGCTGTGCACAATGAATTTGCTCAACATGGTTTTACCGCTGCCTGGAGTCCCAACTACAATAACCAGTCGGGGGTGTGTTTCTTTTCCAATGAGATCAAAGAGATTATTGTAAGTCATCCCTTCTCTCTGTGCTCTCTTCATCAGCTCCTCGTGCTGCTTGCCTCTCGCTAGTAACTCGTGCTGCTTGGTTTCCTGCTGGTGGTAGTAGGGAACCAGAATTGGCTTCACCATCCTCTCTGACAAAAACACTGAAGGTTCTCCAGGTCGTGCGTTGCAGTCTCGTGTTAATGATGTCAGCTTCAGCAAGAATTCTCTGTAATCCTCACCAGGGTTATCTAAATTAAACAGAAATGATTTAACAAACAAATTAGTTTCATTTATACTAAAAAAACATTCCTATAGCAGAAAAATATGATTAAAATAAACTAAGTAATTAAAAAAGCATAGCGAATTCGTTCACTATGGATAATGCAGCAACATCATGTACATCACGAATTATTGCGTGGAAGTTTTCACGATGTGTATTCTACAAATGCAAGTTTTATAAACACTGTACCTTTGTAAAATATATTTTTCATCATGACAAAAATGTTCCAACCACTTGTCTCGTTTGTTTTGCCTGTGAAAAAGAAAGTACCACCACATTTAGCATTACGATTTACATCAGCATTATCAAAAACTAATTCAATTTGGGTGTAAATTTCAATCCTGCCTCGTTCTACAATTATTGATTTGTGTTGTTTAGGATGTTGAATTTTACTTTTTATATTTCACTGGTATTGGGGCTGTGTTTCCTCTCCCATCTCAAGCTGGCCTACATCACATAGCACGGGGGCTACACTGTGGTGGAGTGCAGTACACCAGGCACGGTCCTCTGCAGGCAGAGAAGATGCAGTGATTGCACACTGGCGGAGCCAGTTGGGGGGTGTGGGGTGGCACGTGCCTCCCCAATGATCCGATCGAAATACTTAATTTCGATCGATAAATCGGCATTTTGCGACCGCCACTGTGTAGCATATTGCTATGTGCCAAAGACTCTATGAGATGATAGGACAATAGTCTGAGTCCATAATTGGCAATAAGTAACGGCAAAGCAGTTATAAGTGATTCACATAAGTGCGCGCAGTTGCGTATACAATACACGACTTCCCTGAAGGCATTCACCTTCAGCGAGCGCGATGTCGATCACACACGGTTCGAATTCGACCCTCGATCCTTGGCTGCGCCATCGCCGCACAAGCGCCGAATAAAAAGCAAGGGACAAGTCCTTATTTAATAACTCCTATCATTTTTTTTATTGCTGGAGGAGTTACCTCCCTACCTGAAAATCCTGGCTCCGCCATTGTGCTTGCACCTCCATAATAACAGCCACATGAATCACAGAACTCATAGCATCCCACGTGATGCATCGTAGGTTCACTTGAACTTCAACTAACCTGGCTACTGCATCATCAGCAAGCACTGTGGCATCCCCTAGATTGGGGAGAGTGGAGATTTCCCTAATGACAGATTTGCTTGACATCTTTCATCACAGCTTTTCAAGGTAACATCTAACTCAATGGCTCATAACTTTGGTGTTATTTTAATCTCTCCATCATAATATACTTGGAGTCATGAGTTAGAGTGGACTTTTTACAAACCATGAGGGCTTAAATATTGACATTTTATTTGGAGGAAGTTATAACCAATCCAAGCCAGGGTGTAAGAGGAAAGTAGGTTCCGTTATATGAGTCAATGGCAATATCAGGCTGGGTGTCATTAGAAATAGCAGTGATAGTCGATAATAAAAACGTATTTTTTTTTCTCAAAACGAGGAGATTGTACTGAGAAGAAAAGATGGCACAGGACTGCGCCATGTGGAACACCACAGAATTAGGGCTTGTGAACAGAAGACAGTGCTTGCATGGAAAAATATGAATCAATTCCAGGGGTTGAAGCAGAACCAGGAAATAAGTTTGTCAGACAACACTTGCATCGCCATGAAGATTCAAGAGGATGGAGTGGTGTCAAAAGCAGCCCAAAGGTCAAGAACTAGAAGCAGCATCCATAGGTTAACAGAAATGGTCATTTGTCCTGCATAGGGGAACAGTTTCAATGACATGGCCTTGGTGGAATCCAAATTGTACCAAGTCATGGAGACCATGGCAGCAGATGGGTTTGCTGCCATTGCCAAACATCTTGGGCTTGACACTTGAAAGAGAGCTTCATAGGTCATTACATTATTACAGCTTAAATACCATGTCTGTATGAAGAGGAGGTAGAAAATCACCATGTTTACGTCTTTTCCAAGGACAGGGAGGTGTGGGATATGACGAATTAATGAATGTTGGGGTCCAGTGTGGATGTAAGTTTTTGATATTTACACACATTTTCATTATCCATCTATCCTTTCCTCCTAATTGCTGATAAATTGTAGTTTCCCTGCTATGGAATGTAATAGAAATGTCCTCCTTCTGAGAGGAATGTTGTCATGCAAGGGTGGTGCAGTTTGCTAATATTAAATGACAATCTCAGTTCAAAGCAATTCCTTCACCTAAACTTGCCAGAGACATGTGAATGGCTATGTGAAGTTTAGCATCACTCACGAGAAGCTGCTCCAGGGATGGCTTTACCCGCAGTTCTGCTCAGATCGACACCGATCACGTTGAGCTGCTGCTCATGCTGTGAGATCCACTGATCCAAGAGAGTGATCTCGGATCTCAGTCGCACGAGCACATCTTCAAGAAATATCATGCAGACTTGTTCTCCCTTTATGAGCACCAGGTTAACCAGAGGCCGTGTTTGCACAACGGGGTCATTCTCGCTGTTAAGAGACGCGTATTCACTGTCCAGGACTATCCCTGTTTGATAGGAATGGTCAAGCACTTCTGAAGACTTCGCCTGGAGGTATTTCTGCAGATTCACTTTGTTGGTTTTAATGATCTCATATGCAGGATCTTTTGATGCCATCACAACAAATGCATCGAGTCACCTGAAGAAAATGAAAACAAACCACGTGTCACCTGTAAGCATAGTCGTGTAATTTTATCCAGGTACAGGGAAGAATAATTATAAAAAATAAAATGTTGCTACTAAAATCTGAGAGGTCTCGGTTAGGTACAATTGTGACTTTAGGTATTTGATTGTGAATACATTGACTTATTTAAATTGTAATGAAAGCTTAAAATTGTTATTGGAATATATATAAATAAATAAAATTGCATCAAAACACTTTAGGCATCTCAAAACACTCTTCAGTGCAAGTATTTGAACATTCACATCAACACAACACTACGATAAAAAAATAGTAAAATGTGAACCTAATTCAAAACGCCACACAGTTTTAGCAGATTAAGCAGCTGCGTGACACCACGTGCTCACTGCCTCGACCATCGTGATGCCACGCAGACGGCAAATTGCGTTGTAATGTGCAATGATCGGGATAGCGTCACCTCTAGTTGAGTGACGATTAGAGGGTGGGAGCCAGGTTTGATCTTGGGTAGTCCCTATGTAGTGGGCACTCCCATGCTCTCAATGTATGGGTAGAGGGTGCTCTGAGGTTGTCTAGCAGTGGTATGACATCACATACCGCGCTCCCAGCAGCGCCTAGGGGCCGTTTGTGAGGGGGCCGGGGGAGCCGACGGAGGGAGCCGATGGAGCCAGGGGGCCGACGGGACGGGGGAGCCGGGGGTGGGGGGGGCGACGGAGCCGGGGGGAGGGGGGGCGACAGCGCGAGCAGAGGGAGCCGACACTGACTTTCTCATACATCATACACTGACTCACTCACACCATGCACTGACTCACTCACACATCATGCACTGACTCACACATCATGCACTGACTCGCTCACACATCATGCACTGACTCGCTCATCATGCGCTTACTCACTCACACATCATACACTCGCACAACCACTGACCCATTCACTCATCATACACAGGTTCACTCATCGTGTGCTGGCTCACTCGCACATCATACACTCACTCTGCCGCTGACTCGCTCACACATCATACACTGACTCACTCATCATGCGCTGACTAACACATCGTGCGCTGACTCACTCATCATATACTCACTCAACCTAATACTGACTCAATCATCATACGCTGACTCGCACATCATACGTTGACTCGCACATCATACACTCACTCACGCTGCTGCTGACTCACTCACACATCATACACTGAGAGTGTCGTGCTGCCAGCTATGGCTGCAGGTTTTGTCGTACATGTTATGTTTATCGTTTATTGTTAATTTTAAAATCACAGTTCCTATGATTACTGCTGTTACATTGTTTTTGTAGCTTTATTTTGGTCTGGTTGTGGTTTAATAGTTTTCTGCAATGTAGATTCAT